CTCAGGTCAATAATTTCTGACATTGCCAGTTAAACAGAAGACCCAATGCTATTATGGGCTACTGGACTCTTTTAGAATATTTTGCTGAATTTACACACCTATAATATTCAATAACGGAACATAGAAAAAATGGGGTATACCGATCAATGTCCATTTTGTATCTGTGTATTCAAAGTGGTTAGGATAGATATATAGTTGCATTCTCTTAATGAATAGAGGGATTTGTTCTAATGGTGTTTGTAAATAGGATCTCAAGTTCGCATCTTGTACAGCAATTAACCACTGAGAAGAATATATGCGGTGTATTATTTGTTGAAACTGTACTTTCGATTTGATTTGAAACTGTCTCATTGCTATCTGTTTATCAATAAAATTTTGAAAAAAAGTTCTGTCTGTACAGGAAACTGAGTGCTAATGAAATATCTATTTCTATTGTAGTATTTTTACACTATAGCAAAGTTGAATTGTTCTGATATGGCTTAAGAAGCCTAAAATATTTTCTAACTCAGTAGAAAAATCTGTAGAGCTGTCAAATACATTGTTTTTAAATAAATTTTGTTCGAAATCCGTGTATTTTTTCCCTTCCTTTGTCCTTCCCTCTGTAGTGGCCAAGACTTCCATTGGATATTGACTAAGAAACTTCACTGAAAATAGCAATATGTAATATAGGGTCATGGTTGGAGTGCCTGTCATTCTGGTCTTTTAAATCCATACTGCTTGTTGTGTCATGCCAATTATTGCCAAACTATCTCTCAAGTCAATGTTTGTTAAAAAAAAAAAAAGGGTAGTAAGTGAAAACAAGAGATGAAAAAAATGTCATGGGACTATCGTGCCACAATGCTGTATATGGTTAGGTTTCTAAATTTCTGTGTAAAAATATGTAATTGTTTATTCCTATTTTAAAAAAATTAACTTTTCTTTTTTTTTTACATTCGGTAGGGATTTAAAGTTTAACATATCAATACTTGATGGAAAATACCTGTTCCATGTTATGCCTAAGAAGTTTGATACTCAGATAGTGAGGTTCAGCTCAACTGCCTATTTTATAGGGTAATAATATCATTAAGTTTCTCTTCTAGAGGGTTAACAACTTAAGTTTGCAGACCAAAAATTAGAGAAAAGGAAGTGCTGCAAGGACAGCCAACATTTTGGTCCTATCTCAACATAAAGAACAATGTTGTAGGATTTCCACAGACAACATTTATCAGGATAGAAAATTCCCCTATATTCTTACTTGACTAAATTTTTAATATTAATGAATGCTGAATTTCCTTAAATGTCTTTTCTGAATCAGTTGCTATAATACGGTTTTTCTTTTTCTACTCTGTTAACGTGGTGAATTATGTTGACTTTTCCTCAATATTGAACCAGCTTTGCATTTCCTAAAAAAACCTGCTTGTAATATGTTATTTTATATTATACACACATAATTTGCAATTTGGATTACATTTTGTATTTCTAAAATGTATGAATATTTGAGTTGAAATTTTTATATATATGGACTGGATTTTTAATACATATTAGCTGAGTCTATAAAGATTTATTATTAATTTACTAATATTTACTTAATTGCCTATGCTTAGGAAGGATATTGGTCTGAGATTTTCTTTTCTTCTCTTTAGCTTTTATATCAGGGAAATCAAATGATGTCTTTGCAGTGAGTTGATACACATTTATTTTGTGAAAAAATTTTTTCTTTGGTAGTGTTCTTCCTGTTTTCAGCCTCCCCAGCGCTGGGAATACAGGCATGTCCCACCACACCTGGTCTCTTTGGCCAGCTCAACTTGTGTGGGGCGGGACCTGCAAGGCATGTGGTGCTGGGGATTGAACCCCAGTCCCTGAGCTTCCCTAAGCAGGTGCTTAGTCCTCTGAGCTATCTTGCTGGCCCTTATTTTCTGAACAGTTTTTAAGCATTTGTGTTATTATTAATTATGTCTTAGTTATTTCTTTCATTGCTAGAGCAAAATACCTTACACTCAAAGTTAAAGGAGTAAGGATTTATTTCAGCTTACAGTTTGTAGAGGTTTTGGTTCATAGTTGGCTGGCTCCAGGGCAGAATTGTAAGACAGAAGGGTATTTCAGAAGAGAACAAGTGTATAGCAAAGTAGGGCAGGCAGAAGGCAAGAAGCAACAACCCCCTTCCTGTCCCTTATCTAGGCTACTCCCCCGTAAAATGAGTAGCAGTCATACCCTTAATCCTAGCATTGCATCCTTTTTTTTTTTTAAATTTAATTTGTATTTTTTTGATACAGGATCTTGCTGCACAGTTCAGACTTGTAGTGATCCTCTGTCTCAGCTACCCCATTGTTGGGATTGCAGGGGTGCACCACCACGGCTGGCCTGATAGTTCCGGGGCTGGCACCACATGTAGTACTGGGGATTGAACTTAGAACCTCATGCTTGCCAGGCAGGTGCTTATGCCACTGACCATGCCAAGCATTGCATCCTTAGTCCCAGCATAACACACCTTAGATCCAGCCACCTCTTACAAGCTCCACCTTGACTTGATGAGACTTTGGAGGACATCTAGATCCAAGCTGTAACACATTTTCAGAAAGATCTGAGCTACAAATTTATTTTTGTTTACTAGATATGGGATTTTCCAGGTTGTCTGTTTCTTCTTTGGTAAATGTCAGTAGTTTTTGGTTTTTATGGAATTAGTTTATTTAATCTGAGTAGGCCAACTGAGATCTCTGGTGTTGTCATCAATTTTTTTTTTATTCCTTTTGATGTTTGTCGCATCTGTAATGATATACACAGTTTTATTTCTAATAATAATCTGTATCTTTTTTTGGTCAGTTTAGCTGGAGGTTTACTAATCTGCTATTTTTTTAAAGAATTATCTTTTGATTTCCTTCATTTAAAAGTTTTTCTTTGTTCAATTTTACATCTGCTTTTACCTTAGTTCCTTCCTTCTGCTTGCTTTGGACTATATTGTTCTTTTATTCCTAGTTTCTTAAGGTGAAAGGCAAGATTATTGATTTTTGGTTATTTCTTTTGTCATATACATACTGTTAGCAATCTATTTGCATATATTATAGTTCTATCTTTCTAGTTTTATTTCCATTTTTATTCTGTTCAATAGACCTAACTTGACTTTTCAGTCTATAAATTATTCAGAGCTATGTTATCTTATTTACAAGACAATTTGCATCATGCAAGACAATTTGTGCAGTGCAGACAATAAAATAATTGTGTGCCACAGCTGCCCCTGAATGAGTTTCTGAACTGAGGTCGTGCTGGTTGCTGAGCTTTTTTGACCTCACTGGGGATCACTCTGATGTTGAGTGGCAGCTAGTTGGCTGACTATGTTTTATATGATTATTGTTATTTATCAATTTAGGGCTACCATTTTATTAGTTTTCTGCTTTTCATTACTTTGTTTTCCTCTTTGCTCCTTTGTTTAGGGTTATTTCAAAAACTTGCAAGTATTTTATTTTTACTGTATTTTTTTACTGATTGCAGATTGAGTTTAGGACAGAGTAAAAATGCAATAAAAATTTGGCTGGTTTAATCTTAACTTTTCATAGCCCTCTTTTTCTGTATTTTATGAGCAGTAGACAGTTTTCACTTTCGTTATTTAAAATGATTTTGAGGGGTACTTGACATTTGATCAAGGTTCAGAATTCATGAAAACAGTAAATAATTAAAATAGTTACATTTTGTAACTTAAATATACTGCAGTGCAGTTAGATATTAAAGATTTTGTTTTTCTCTATGCTCATTACATTTTTGTTTGGTGTTCTTTAGATTCTGGTGTAGTGCTGAAAAAATAAATTGGTTTCAGGCATTTTGGTGAATGTCAGAAGTATTACGAGATCTAATTTTAACCATCTTGAGATATTATTTCATTTCATTGGGACAGATCCTTTGTCTCTGCATCATAATTTATCCAGTGGTTCACATCTGCTTATTAGTGAAATTTACATTCAAATTTAAATCTTGACTCCCAAATTCATATTTTATCATTATTTCATTTATTCTGAACCCATTTACTGTATATATTGTGGATCACAGAATTTTTTATTGAAATTAGTAGTCTTTACCCTTATAATTCTTACTGTCTTATCAATGAGAACAATGTTAAAACATGTAAATATAAAAAGAAATACATAAAAACTTTATAGTAAATGTAGTAATGGCAAATGACAGGCTTGATAAAAATAAAAATCATGGAACTTAATTTAGATTGGGAAGGACGTGTTTGGAAACCTTTTTGTAGAAGTTATGTTTGAGCTAAGTATCCATGGTACCTGGGAGTTAGTAAAGACTTGGAGAGAAATTGTGATAGCAGGGAGAAAAGGACTGTCCAATGCCTTGCGTTGGGAAAGCGCTTAAAGTATTCAAGAGCTGAAAGAAGGCCATAGTGGCTGGCATGTAGTGACAAACTTTGGGTGTGAGATGAGGTTGGAGAGAGAGAGGCAAGGCCAACTTGTCTAGGGAAGTGGTAACAAACATTTTTGAGCTCTTGGTGGCACAAAAAGCTCACTGTGGTACATGTGCCACCATTGGTCTAGGGCTTTGTTGGGCATGCAAAGGTGGATTAATTGATGGTTACTTTTATTTTCCTTCCTGAATAAAATAACTGTTTAGAGTGCAGACTGTTTATAAGACAAATACTATCTACTTCTATGAATTAATTGGTGGGTATTGCTGATACTTTTACCTGAGTGTGCATTAGCTCTAATTGTCTAACATTGCTTGCTTATCTGTCCTACAACTTGTCATACCTGAAATTTTTCTGATTAAAATAAATGTTTTTAAGTTCTCTCAAAATGGCTAATACTTTTTTTATATTGGCTAATATAATACGAGAAGAACCATGCATTTAGATTATCATGTTAAGAACAACACACTTTAAAAAATTTCTCAGCTTCAGACACACTATAGATAAATATGACGTTACTTTTACTGTTAGCTCTCTTTAATAAACCAATGAAGCACTTTTAGTATTTTTTTCTAATTGCCAATATTGAAATGCATGGTTATATCTTTCACAGTCTGAGGGAAAAAGCCATTCCAGTGCTGGAGATGCAATATATGAGGTGGTGAGTTTACACCGAGAGTCTGACAAGGAGGAACCAGTCACTCCTACTAGTGGAGGGGGTCCAATGTCACCTCAAGAGGATGAAGCAGAAGAAGGTAAGAAATTGAGCTTTCTAGGTTGCCTCTATTTCAGTAGCTGCTTTATTTATAATCTTTAAAGGTAGGAGTATGTGCATGCACACACGTGTGTGTGTTTGCACTGGAGGGAAGGAGCGATGGTTATTCCTTGTCTCTGCCACCTTTTACAGTTAGATTCTGCTGCAGGCAAAAGAAAATGTGAATTATTAAGTTCCTTGGTTGGATAGTCCCCAGTGCCACTTACACAACTATTTATGTTCGATAGGATTACATTTCTGATTTGCATCTTATTTTATTTCAAGTACTTTTGAAGTATTCAATGAGAATTGTCAAATTCTCTCAAGGGTTTCTAAAATTTCAGTGCTATGTCATATTTTACATTATGTTTGATGTTATTCAGTGCTTGCTTTTTCTTGTATCCATTATCACTCACATTTTTGGAATAGCATATTTTGTTTACTACATGGATGCTGCTGAGAGACATTAAACAACCTCAATAGAGTTATCTGTCATTCAGCCTTATCCTTAGTACTCTTTAAAAAGCTAGAGTTAAATAATACAGCTATACTTTTAAGATTTTTATTATCTGCTTCTGGTATAGGGTTTATTAAATCCCTGAATTCATATCATCATTGTCTTAAAGTTCTCAGTCTGTATATGTAACTGTTTCTCTGTTTTTGAATACCATAAAAACAGTAGTAATTTTTGGCTTATATATATTGTTTACTGTCTGTGAGTCATCTTCTGTTTCAAATGTGTTAACATTTACTTATTTATTTTTTTTTTTGTGGCTGGCTCAGCCTGCCCTGGGGGCGCGGCTGGCATAGCGTGTGGTACCTGGGATCGAACCATGGTCCCCGCATGCTTGCCTAAGCAGGTGCTTTAGACCACTTAGCTATCTCGCCGGCCCCAGCATTTACTTATTATAATCCTGTGAGTACTTTTATTAACTTGGTTTTAGGGATGAGAAACTGAGGTACAGAGAACATTATGTCATTTAGCTTTGTATACAAAATTGAGATCTGAACCCAGGCTGTCTGATTCTGACATTTGCATCTACCATTGCCATATTATTTAACCAAAGTAGCCAAGCAACTAAAACATATAAGCAGCTTACATGTTAAAACTAAGGCCAAGCTTACATACCATAAAATTATCCATTTAAAAGTGTATAGTTCAGTAGCATTTAGTACATTCAAAATGTTGGGAAACAATTATTCTACCTAGTTTCAAAATATTTTTGCCACCTTGGAAAGAAACATAATACCTAAGAAGTCACTCTCTGTTTCTTTCCTTTTCTTCCCCTCTAGGAACTCCTAGTTTGCATTCTCTGTTTATTTTATCTATTTTGTACAATTCATATACATAGAATCATATAGAATGTGACCTTTGGTACCTGGCTACTTATACTTAGCACCATATTTTGAGGTTTGTCCTTACTAATAATATCTATCTATCTATCTATCTATCTATCTATCTATCTATCTATCTATATCTATCTATCTATCTATCTATATCAGCATTTCATTCTTTTTTTGTGACTGAATAATAATTAAGTTTGTGGATATGCTACACTTTATCCTCTCATCACTTGATGGACATTTAAGTTCTATTAGTTAAAAATATGATTAATAATACAAGTATTTGTTTGAATACCTTTCAATTCTTTTGGATATGTAACAGCAATTGAATTGATGGTTCATATAGTCATTCTATGGTTAGTGTTTCAAAGAACTGCTGAACTGATTTCACACCTGCCAGCCTCCCAAGTTCTAGGATTACAGGCAGGTGCCATCATACCCAACACAAGCTTTTTGTTGTATGTATTTTCTTTCTTTTTTTTTTTTTTGCATTTTAGGGAAGGGTCTACAGGATGGTCGGGTTCTTACTGTTAGATCGGACGACTCATAGTGATACACCCGTTTACAGTCTACCAAGAGCTGGGATTACATGTATTTTCTTTTTAATTTATATATTTGGTACAGGGTCTTACTACGCAGCTCGGACTCGTAGTGATCCTCCTGTTTCAGCCTCCCCAGTGCTGAGATTATAGGCCTGTACCACTCCACCTGGTTTTGGTGGCTGGCTTGGCTGGCTTCGGGCGAGGCTGGCATAGCATGCAGTACTGAGGATTGAACCTGGGTCCTTACGCTTGCCAGGAAGGTGCTTAGACCACTGAGCCATCTCCCTGGACCACCAGCGCAAGTTTTTAAGTTTTAAAAAACATTATTTATAGAGTACAAAAATAGTATTAAAACAAAAAAATTACAAGATGTACAGAATTTCATTTAACAAAGTAATATGAATTTCATAGTATTTGTTGTAATGCATAGTGCTGTGTTCTAACCAGTTATGCTTGTTATCAGATAAAGGCATGCAAAATTGGAAGAAAAAGAAAGAAATATGTAAGATACTAAGAGAAAAAGGAATAACAGTTGAAGAAAGGAAGCAAAACAAATTATTGTCTGTTCCTTTACATAGACCAGCAGAAATATACAGTCTAGTTGTCCAAACCATCCTGTTTACATACATAGATATATCTCTTTCCCCCACTCCCTTTCCTGTCCTTCTCCTCAACTCGGTAATTCTTTCTTTTTGAAATAATTCATTCCCTTTTCCCAGTATCTATTGTATTCTTCAGATTCCATTTTCTCTTTCAGGTTTTCACTGTAAGGAGATAATATGATGTTTGAACATGTGGATCTGATTTATTTCACTTCAGAATATGTTTTCTAGTTGTATCTATTTACCTACAAAAATCTCAAGTTTGTCCTGTTTTATAGTTGAATAATACTCCATTGTATAAAAATACCACATCTTTTTTAATCCATTCTTCAGTTGATGGGCATCTGGGTTGTTTCCAAGATTTAGCTATGACAAATTGAACTGCTGTAAACATGGTTGTACATATATCACTGTGGTATGATATTTTCAGTTATTCTGGAAAAATACCCAGGAGGGGAAAGCTGACTTGAATGGGATCTCCAATCCTAGCTTTTTAAGGAATTGCCACACTGATTTCCATAGTGGTTGTCCCAGTCTGTACTCCCACCAATAGTACATAAAGGTTCCTTTTCCCCACACAACTCCTCTAGCATTTGTTATTGGTTGACTTCATGATGTTAGTCATTCTTTCTGGAGTGAGATGGTATCTCACTGTTGTTTCAATTTTCATTTCTTGTTACCTTGTTTGTTTTTGATTTTCTTTGGTTTTATTGTATTTTCTTGGTTGAATTGACTTTTAGGGGAGGTTTATTTTTTGTTTTTGGTGCTGAGGACCGAACCCAGGGTTTCTAGCTTGCTAGGTAAGCATTCTACTGCTGAGCCAAATTCAGAGCCACTGCATTTCTCAAATGACCAATGATGTTGAACATTTTTTTCATATATTTACTTGCCATTTGTATTTTTTCATCTGAAAAGTATATATTCCTTTTAGATCCCCATTTTTGAATGGGTCTTTAAATTTGTGGGGCCTGAGTTTTTCTTTTAGTTCTTTATGTGTTCTAGATGGAAGGCCTTTGTCAGAGGGACATTCGGCTAGTATTTTTTCCCAGTTTGTGGGTTTTCTTTTTACTGTGTTAGAGATTTTCTTTGAAGTACAGAAAGTTTTTTTAAAAAATGATGTCCCAGTTATTGATTCTTTGAAATATTTCCCATGTTGTTTGGTTTTTGTTCATGAACTCTCTACCTACCCATATGTCTTTAAGATTTCTACCTACATTTTTCTTGAGAAGATTTAATGTTTCTGTTTTAATATTTAAATCTTTGATCCATTTTGACTGTAGTTTAGTGCATGGTGATAGACATGAGTCCAGTTTTGGCTTTTGGTATGTGGAAAGCTGGTTTTTCCATCACTGATTATTAAAGAGGCTATCTTTCTTCCAGGGAACATGTTTGGTCCCTTTATCAAAGATAATGTGACTGAGTGTGTTTGCAGTTGAGTTTGCATTTTCTAATCTGCTCCATTGATGCTGAGGTCTGTCTCTATGCCAGTACCATGCTGGTTGTATTACAGTAGTGTTGTAGTATAATTTCAGATCAGGGATTGTGATACCTCCTGCCTTTCCTTTATTTCCCAGGATTTCTTTTGGTGTTCTGGGTATCTTCTTGTTTCAAATGAACCTGAGGAATATTTTCTCTAGCTCTGTGAGGTATGCTAATGGTATTTTAATCAGGATTGCATTGAAACTGTGTAACAATTTTGAGAGTGTAGCCATTTTCACAATGTTGGTTCTTTGTATCCAGGAGCATGGAATATCTGTCCATTTTCTCAAATCCTCTTCAATTTCTTTTCTCACACTGTAATTTTCACTGTATAAATCTTTTACTTCCTGTATGAGATTGATACCTCTGTATTTCATTTTTGGAATGTTGTTTTGAAAGGTACAGTTCACAAATGCTACTGATTTTTGGGTATTGATTTTGTATCATGTTACATTGCTGAATTTGGTGACTAAATCTACAAGATTCTTGGTGGAGTTTTTGTGGTCCTCTAGAATATTATGTCATCTGCAAATAATGATAACTTCACTTCTTTTTCCAGTTATTATTCCTTTTATTTCTTTCTCTTGTCTAATTGCTCTGGCTAATGTTTCTAGAAGTATATTGAATGGGAGTGGAAACAGTGAACATTCTTGTCTTGTTCCTGATTTTAAAGTGAAGGCCATCAGTTTTTGCCCACTTAATATGATGTTGGCTGTTGGTTTCTCATAGATCACTTTTATCAGGTTGAGATATAGACCATGTATTCTGATTCTCTGTAGGGTTTTTATCATGAATGTTAGACTTTTCAAAAGCCTTTTCTGCATTTATTGAGGTGATCATGATGGTTTTTGTTCTTGGTTCTATTGATGTGGTGTATTACATTTATGGATTTGCATATGTTGAACCATTCCTGTATTCCTGGAATGAAGCCCACTTGGTCATGATGTATGATCTTTTTGATGATTTGCTGCATTCTGTTCACTAGTATTTTTTTCAAGATTTTTCCATCTATATTCATTAGAAAATTGGCCAGT